TAAATGTTCTAGAACGTCAGGTGTTATATTTCCATCAGCCATGTTCATTTCATACTGGTCCAAAATATCTGCATGTTTCATATCTTTCAATGGCATTAAAGCCGCGCTGAAAATACCAGCTATATCTGGTTCACCATTGACTTCCATTGCGTCTACAACTTCTTGGAATTGTGGTTGTAAGTTTATGAACCACCTATCCGGATTAGCTTTATGACCCCATCTCATTGTAGTTCCATCGTCTGCAGAAACAAAAGTAGGTTTGTTTCCATCTTGGTTAGGTTCTGAATGAACTTTAAACAATGTTTCATTTCTATATGTTTTCTTGAAATTTAACCTTTTATTTCACCGAGTTCATCCGAAGATTGAACGTTAAATGCTCGTAAGTAAAAAGGGTTGTTGTATTTGTGTACATTTTTTTCAGTTCTTCCATTCTATGCTGAATATTTTCATCTGGTGTTGGAGTCTTTTGTATGTCGGCAAACATTTTTCGATATTCTTCTACTATGTCAGCCGAATTTTTTTTAGACTCTTGGAAATATTCCATATTCTCCGCATACTCTTGTTGAGGGTCAAGATTTTTCGGCTGTTCCAAATCTTCATCTAGTTCTGTGAAGTTAGTTTCCAAAGGAGGACTTGTTCGTTTCCTTCAGGCTCTTCTAGCTGTTGTTGCTGAACTATTTCTTCCATGTCTGGTTGTATCTGAACTTCTTCCTGTGGAGTTTCTTGTACCTCATCTGCTGGCATTTCATATATTCCGAGACCGTTTTCAACAATTTCCCTATCTACGTCATCCGCATTCATAAGCTTTTGTTCTTTCGTTCCGTCTCTATTTTTTACGCGTTTCATGACGAAAGTTGAATTGTCATTTAGCTCTGACATCAAATATCTCGGAGTAAATTCATCCATGTCATTTGGATGATATGCTATTAAATCATATCCCTTAGCGAGCTTGTATTTTCCAGGTTTGAGATTATATCCGTTTTGGTGCTGAGCCATAAAGCTAAATAGGTTCGGGTCAGTATTTCCATCCTTGAACTTTCCAATAGCTTCTTTATATCTGTCACTAAAGTCAACAGTATCTGGGAAACCACACTCTTCTTTAAGCATTTTTAAGAATTCTTGGTTTCCTTGTTCTCTACTTCTTTTATGTCCTTGCTCTGTTTGTGGTTGTTGTTGTGCAGGGTTTTGAACTGTTGGTTGTGTGTGGTTGTGTGCTGGTTGTGTGGTTGGTTTTGTGCTGGTTGTGGAGGTGGTTGTTGTGTTGGTTTTGGTGCATGCCTGTGTCTGTGTCCATGTGACGATGTAAATGTTTTAGGTAGTCCTGGTGCAGGTGCTTCTCTTGGAGGTTTGGTGGTATATAAGTTCCACCAGCTGGCACATATGTTCCATCTGCAGCGTAATGTCCTACCTGACTTTTCGTTTTTAAGAAAGCATTTACTAGGTCTGTTTTGGTCTGTTGTAACTCTTTTTCTTGACTTTTCACAACAGTTGCTCTAACGGCGTCATAGGCACTTTGAACTGCCTGTCTCGTTGCTGCATCTGTTATTTTCGTCATATTTTGTGCTACTTCTTTTAACTCTTTGTCGAAACCTTCAGACTTCAGTTTCTTTCCAGATGAGAAGTCGTTCACTTGTTTCACCTTACTATGAAGAGCTTCGAAGGCGTTCTTAAAGTCAGCATTTGTTAAAGCTTCATTTGAACTGTCTTCATCCGCTTGTATTTTTGTCCTTATTGACCCTATAAGCTGAGCTGCTTTAGCGTTGGCTTGGGCATCTAACCAGTCATTGTTAGCTTTTATATATTCTGCGCTTTTCATTGCCTTTTGCATGGCTGCGTCGTTATTTTTACTTTCTTGTGCTAAGTTTTCATACTGTACGGTTTGGTTTTGCAACTGTAAAAGTTTTTCTGCCTTTACATTTGCTTCAACTTCTTTTTTATACTCATCGCTATCCATATATGTCTTCAGGGCTTTTTGTTTTATCTCTTCATCTTTCAGTATTTTATATTGAGTAGTATGGTTTTTCAAATTTATGACATCTTGTTCCATTTTTGCTACTTCTGCTGCTTTTTCTGACACTTTTTTCGCATATTCCTCTGTACTTAGTTCTTTCAGTTGTTCTTCTTTCTTCTTTTTCTCTACGTTTAACTCATTGAGTTTCTTTGTGTGTCTGTCATATTCTAGTTTCTTTTCGTTTTCACTTATTTGCTTCTGTATGTCTATGTTTGACTTTTTGACATCTGTTATTTGATTTTTGAGTGAACTCAAATTCATTTGACTTTGAGGGTTATAGGCTGTTCCGTCTGCAGCTCCACCATAGCCTGCCATTTTCGCTAAAAGTGCCGCTCTTAAACCTCCACTCTGTGCACCAACAACTCGGTTTAAAAGCATAGGATTGCTTGACATTTGTTGCAACATAGTGGGGTCATTCAGCATTTGTTGTTGCAACTGTTGTTGTGGTGTCAGTTTTACTATTGGATGTTTCAATGCTCTCTTCCTCTTACGTATATTCTTACGTAGCTTACGTGGCATTTTAAGTAAAGTTAAAAAGCGGCTTTTGACAGATGTTTATATGACACTTCTTGTTCAGCACAAAAAACTACTCGGTCAAAGTGTTGTCAGTTTTGTAAAATAACCGTCCTATCTCCGTGCCTATGACGAAGAAATCATGAAAATTCAAGAGGGTAGAAAAGAGGTTAGAAAAGAGGTTATATCTAACCTTCTACCCTAAACATTATTTTTGTCTGATTTTACGAAGAAGTCTTGACAAAACATTTACGAAGAAGTCTTGACAAAACATTTACGAAGAAGTCTTGACAAAACATTTACGAAGAAGTCTTGACAAAACATTTACGAAGAAGTCTTGACAAAACATTTACGAAGAAGTCTTGACAAAACATGAAAACATATATAATTTGTGAAAAGCTCCTGGAAGACCCGTATATATAAGACCTTCATTATACTCATCAACTTCAAGGCTAGAAGGCACGAAGTGCCTGGAAGCCTCACTACCTTTTTTTTTTTTTTTTTTTTTTTTCCAAAAAAATTTTGAATTACAAATTTTAAAACTTAAAACAACATTTTTTGAAGCGAAAAAACGAAATCTAATTTTTTTTGGAAAATTTAGAATAAATCGAGCTCTTTAACTCGTCGAATACAAATTGTTTTCAAGTTTTTTTCGACCGGAAATTGAACTTTTAGAGTTTATACAATAAGATTCACATGAAAAAATACGGGTTTAACAAAGAAATCACCAATATAAAGGTTTTTTAGTAGAACGAGATTGATAAAAACTATGGTATGATAAAAAGACGATAATTTTTTGGCGGGATAATTGAAGAATATGAATGATTCGAATTACAGACATACTCTAGTCCGAAACTTACTATGGTTCGTGACTTATTTTTGACACAGAATAGCTGTAGACTAAGGCTTACTCTAGATCCAGACTTATTATACAATTAAATTTGCTTTTGGAATAAGACTTAATTTTAGTTACAAACTTATCTTAATATCAGACTTATATTTAGAATCAGACTTACTTTCGTCCGAGACTTACATTTCAAGTCAGACTTACATTCGTCCGAGACTTACATTTCAAGTCAGACTTACATTCGTCCGAGACTTACATTTCAAGTCAGACTTACATTCGTCCGAGACTTACATTTCAAGTCAGACTTACATTCGTCCGAGACTTACATTTCAAGTCAGACTTACATTCGTCCGAGACTTACATTTCAAGTCAGACTTACATTCGTCCGAGACTTACATTTCAAGTCAGACTTACATTCGTCCGAGACTTACATTTCAAGTCAGACTTACATTCGTCCGAGACTTACATTTCAAGTCAGACTTACATTCGTCCGAGACTTACATTTCAAGTCAGACTTACTTTCGTCCGAGACTTACATTTCAAGTCAGACTTACATTCGTCCGAGATTTACATTTCAAGTCAGACTTACTTTCGTCCGAGATTTACATTTCAAGTCCAAGGAAAAGAGATTATTGATGACTTACTTTCCATCGATGGTGCACAACAGCAGGGAGGGGATTGGTGGGTTTGGGGAAATTCGCTGAGGCACTAGTGTCCGGATTGTTCGTCAAATAGGTTTCCTTTCCTATAAAGAAATGACACTTTTTGGCGGCTTATTGACTCAGAAAAATTTGAGAGTTAACGAATAATTTTGGCGCCAAAAATAATTTCTCTTAATTTATTAAATTTAATATACGCACATCCATAAGTTATGCTATTTTTTTCTATTTATTTTGTTCTAAAATTCTAAATATTTTTTTTTCATAACATAAAATATGATGTCTAGTCTCATTTACATAACAACATGCCTTAGAATAGGTTTTTTATTCTTTTTGTCACTTTAAATTAAGAATAAAAAGATAATTTAAATTGAATATTTGCGATTATTCTCACTAATGCTGCTTCCTCTTTTATTAGGTAGACAACAAAAAGCTAGCCTTGGACTCCCATATCAGATTTTTGATTGGTTGCGTATATAATGAGCTGGGATTGATAGACGAAAACCCAGTGAGAAAATTTTTGACGCCCAAATTTCTAGCCGTATTCTCATTTTTATTTAGGCCTATTTTAAAAATATTTAGAAAGAACGGTAATTAAAAGACTCATAAATGGGTCCAAAATTAAAATTCATTATTTAGGAAAATTCGCAAACTTGTTTCAAAGAATTTATCATTTCGATAGATTCTGTTGATTTGAGAACTAATGAACCAGCAGATGATAGTTTCATCTACTGCTCTTGAACCATAATGTCTACGGTAGCATCGGGAAATAGTAAGTCTTTGTCCCTGCAGGATGTCATGAAGTTTACATAAATTGAGAACTTTTACGAGGTCGGTCGGAACCCTTAAACCAAACTTTACCTGAAAAATATTTAATTAACATGATTTTAATAGTTATGTATACATTTTATTATCTAAATTAAATGTGATTATGAAATAAACTAGATCATAATCATAATATTTTTTTTCTCTATTTTGACAAAACAATGGAGATGATTTTTTCTGAATAAGAATCAATACCTTTTTCAGCACGAATGAGTGAAACATGTTCATTGCTAATAGAGCATGAACGAAGGCATTCGATGCATCTATCAATAGCAGCTTTGCAAACACCTTCACATTTGATTAATGAGAAAACAAATGTTAAGATATCAACAGACGAAAATGAGTTTTCGAAATGGAATTCTTGATCGAAAATCTCTTGAACAAGAGTACACTGGAATTCATCAGAATGGCTACCAACAACAATACGAGGTAATATACGTTTAAGTAATGTTGTACTTCGGAATTCATCAGAAATACGACGTTGTGAAACACAGAACTTCAAAATGATTTCAAGAGAAATTTCACTTGAAACTGTGCGAACATCATTTTCAGTATGAATAGAGATATTGTAAAGTTCATCGAAAAGTGTTAACCATGTCTCGTCATCATTGATGAAATCAGAGACAACTGAAAAGAATGTTAATGCTGTCTGTGATATGTTGCCTGTCTTGTCGTGGATGCAGAATGAACTAAGTGTTGTCAAAACACTGCTGATGTATGGACTGATGTCTGTTGGATAGTTGACGATGACGTTCTCGATGATACGGAATGTACGATCGATAAAGTGTTCGTCACGTGATGATTCTGTGAGGATACGAAGGATGACTGTCCAGCCTGAGTGGAAGTTAGAGTGGAATGAGAAAGCAAGTTTACCAATAGAATCAAGAAGAACTTCTTGAATGTGACGATGACTTGCACCGTAATAGATATCAAGCATAGGACTAAGGAATCGTTCTTGGTAGTGGTAGTCTGTCTTCTCTTCTTTAGCAAGGAACTTCTCTGAAAGGTCGGTGAGAAGTTTGATAGAAAACTCTGCAATGGATTTGTTCTTGTGTGAACCACCATAAACAATGTTTGGAGAAATGGCTGTCCAGATCTCGTTCCAAACATACTTCTCGCGATCCATGTTGATGATGGCAACTTTTGACATAGATTGAAGCATGTAATTACGTGGTGTAGATTCTTCCGTCTCACGGATACAAACAATAGACATTGCACGACAGAAATCGTTGATTGACTCGCGGTCCAATGATTTAGTGTGTTCATAGAGTTCTTCTGCTTTGTCAAGGTATTCTTTGACGTTACTAAGATCTTTGATTGATTCCATGAGTGAAACTTCTTCAAGGAAGACACTCCATGCATTTTTAATATATTCTCGCTCTTCAACAACGAACTTGAGAAGTAAATCAGTGCATTGGATATTCTTCGGCTCTTGTACATCGCAGTTATGTCTCAATCTCGTGAATTTTGTCAATGCATCTAATAATGATTGCAATGCATCTTCAACATAACAACGAGCACTTATATGTAAAGCACTCTCCATTGAACTCAATATGAGATCAATGATCTTTTGGTCATTTGTCGCTTCCAAACTGATGGAAAGGCAAGCAACTAATGGACCCCAAACACGTTGAAGCATCGGACCAAGTAACAAAGGTGAATCAACATGTGTAAAAACAAATTTGTCACCTGTTATATGTTGTCTTGCTGCTTGTAATGTTTGCTGGCATTGCTGTTGATAGATCTCAATGCGCTGTTGTCTGTTTATGAGGTTATTATTAGAAATATTCGTTGGAGAAACAAATATCTTCTCGCGTTTGATGCCGTTGTATAAATCAGTCAAAAAGTCGGTTGGCAAATCTTTTCCGTTATCTATTCCTCTGTTGTTTTTGATGAATTCTTCCAATGTCATGTGTTTCTTGATTGTCGGATGATGTGCGTCTGTGTGCAGCATCAATGCGGAATAGGCCAACACGTAGACAGTGTCCGCGCATGAGAAAATCGATGGATTCTGCTTGTAAAACCTTTGGCCAAATTGTTCCATGATTCTGTCAATCATTTGACCTTCGCCTGGAATAATGAAGGCGGAAAGGAAGGTTCTGAAGGCTTTTTCGAACGTCATTCCTGAGAAATCGAAACAGTTCATGTAGCTCTTCAAAATGGCCGCATTTTCCGGTTTGTTTCCGCCAATGATTTCTCCAATTGACTGGCCAGGAAGGCTGGGTGAGTTAAAGAAGAACTTGCCGATTTCTACGGGATCAGAGGACACAATGTTGTTCTTTATGAAGAATTGGAGACCTTTTTTAGGCGAATCTCGGAAAATTTCGATTCCTTGGGTAAAAATGTCTTTTGCTTGCTTAGCGGCAATGATATTCTGTGTAACATTTTGGGAGGTGTTTTGTGCTGGAGGATTCTTGCAGAATTCCCAAAGTTTGTATAAAATATTTGATAAAGTAGTAAGTGCGGACTTTTGCAGCGATTTTGATTCGCTTGTAGGGTAAGCGTTCTTGCAGATGATGCTGAATGAGTTCTCGAAGATGTTCTTGAAAGTTCCTGATTGGTCGCAGTCGAAATTGACGAAAGAATCAACAAAAATTAGTGGGTTGTTGCAGAGGACACGGAAAATGTGACAAGCGCGACGAACAACGTGGCTGTCAGGGGATGACAAGGCAATTGTGAGGCCTTGGTCAAGAATTTCGTTAAGTCCTTCGGCAAACTTGTATGAGAGGCGGCTCCAGACGGTTAAAACAAGAGCTGCTGTGTAAGGAGCTGTATCGAAAGAAGAATTGTAAGAAGCGGCTAAGATTGCGACTCGTACATCTTCGTTTAATATATTTTTGAAGAATGGTTTGTTGAAATATGGGAAATCTGATGATAAAATGCCATTAAGGGTTGATAAAGCCAAAATTGTGGTTTTTTCATCAAATAGCTGCTTTTCAACTGCATTCGTAAGGAACCGTATGGCAACGGTAACATCAATGTCATGAGGAGTTGCGTATTGAGGGTAAGATGGCATTGTTTCAATCGCTTGGATGCAGTTTAATGTTAAAGCGTTTACTGTATACTTGGCAAGCTCTGATACAGTATCGAATTCTATTTTCTGAATTAATGTATCGTAGCAACCGATTAAGGCTCTCATCGTTTCATGTAAAGTCATTTCGCAGACTTCTTTGGTTTTTGTGTCCTCAGCACAGGACTGGTATAGTACAAGAATAGAATGGATAATGTTGTACATGTTTTCATTATGGACATATAGATTTCCGGAAGGAGATAAGAGGATGAATGATATTAATTTGCACGCTTTGACTTTTATTTCATCCTTCTTTATTGTGTGCATATAAGAAATTACTTTTATTGTACGTTCAGTAATTTTTTGATTGGGAAATAGTTCAACAGATGAAGCATGATAAAGAACTGCTAGAGATTCAAGTACTTGAAGTGAGAATTTATTGTAATCTGTATTAAAAGCTAAGAAAAATGGTTCCGAAACAAGTTCTAAATCTAACTTTTTCGGAGTTTCTACGTTAGTCTTAATATTTGACTCTGCTGCTTTGATAGCTAATTTAATCTTGCTATCAGTAAGCAATGCAAGGGACTCCGAGAGCACATGAAGGCATCTTGGAAGCGCCTTGATGAGCAGTTCAGGTGAAGACATTGGCGCGGTTTTGTCAGATTTAGAAAAATGAATTTAAACTCAATTAAACGAGAAAATTTAATTTGTTTATGATTGCCAATATTATTTAATGACAATTAATGAACATCAAAATTCAATCTGAAAAAAGCGTTTTGAATTTTTGCGCATGATTTAAACATCAAAATTCAATCTGAAATCAAATATACAATATATTAATCTGAAATTTGGCAAAATGATGATAAAAGTGACATATATGATTTAAAATTGCATCATGATTTCTAGAAATCTCCCTAAATCTGGTATTTGTAAAGTTACAAGCATGCCAACTAAAAAAATTGGAACTACCAGATTTCATTTTTAATAAATTTCAATTCTCAGACATACGATTATTTTTGATTCAAATGCTGTTCGGCATTAAAAGCAAAAATAATCATATACCTGAGAATTACACTTTTCCGACATCTTTGGGTCGCTTCGCGCCCCTGACAAAACGTCGGAAATGTGTAAATTTTTAATTTTTTTTCCTTAATTTATATTTTTATTTTCCTTCATCTATCGGCGCGTAGCGCCGCTAGATGATATATATAAGGTAGTCACAAAATCTAAGTAGAAGGGCTTTGAAATATTGAGGGGATTTGAAATTTTGGCTCTCAAAATTTACCCTTCCTCACTACTCGAATTCCGAGCCTCTCAATGAGTTTCCTCTCAATTTTGAATGGTTTATATTGACTTTTGAATACCTTTATTGAGAACAAAAAAATAAATATATTAATAATCGTATAATATTGGCATTTTTCATAAAATGAAGGCCTAAAAAAGGGGGCCATTCAAAAAATGAATTGTTTTGGGGAGTAGTAGATCTAGTATCTGTATAACAAATTATAAAGATTGGCCATAAAAATTAGGCCTAATCTCTTTTTGGTAAAATTTTGGAAATTGATCTCTCTTCATATTAGTCCGTGGTGAGGTACAGATAACAAGATGATGGAATAAATGTTTTTGACATATTCACTTTTTATCATAATAGCCGAAACTAAGTATATTGTTGATAATTTTTTGTTTTGTACCTTATTTTAGGGACATTACTATTTATTCATCTTTGTATCATTTTTCTGGAGCTAGTATTGAAAAACATGCAATGAAATCCATGTTTTCATTTGAAATCTGATAAAGTTAAACGTGCATATAAGTTTCTCGCTGATATCACTCGATTGTAAATTAATGTATATGTAATTCAATTAATTCAGAAAAATTTCGGATTGTCCAAATTGAAGGATATAATTTTTTTTCTTTAGCCTATTAATCAATGCATTATATTGTATTCATTGTCTAATAAGTAGTTACACCTAATATTAGGATATAACACTCTTGCTGCTTACAGATACAAATTTTGATATGATTATTTTGTTTAAAGCTATTATGCTTATAGTGATCACTTATTGAAGATGTTGTATAACGTATCTATATTACTATTATTGTATTTCATGCATCTTTTTTCATGAATAAAATTTTATTGAAAAAATTCCAACTTTTCATTAATCTAATTTGCCATCTGTGATATTTCCTATTCTGTTACAACTATTAAAGTTTACATTAAAATTCGTATTCAAAATTTCAAAATTTTTCAAATTGACCAATACCACGATTTTAATAATATATATTTGTTTGTGCTTTTAAATTTCATAAGCTTTCAAAATTTAAGAGAATTGATAACTTCATACAATATGATTATAATTATATGCTAATTAATAATTCTCAAAATGAAAAACAGTCTTCTCAAAACTAAATTCAATGTCTTTCAATCGAGATTTTGAGGCAACTTTATATAGTGATTGTCTGTTGCTGAAACATAAAATGATTAAGAATCAAAACCATTTCTAAAAATGTATTTTTTAAGACTTATTTTTGATAGTTTTCACTCAAAAATTTTCATCATATTTGAAATAATATCATATTCTTAATCTGAGCTATTTGATTGGCGCAAAGCGCCAATCAAATAGCGAAGAAAATGACTTTTCAAAATATTTATTAATAATTTATTATCAAAAGTCAAAAATCAATGAGAGATTATTATATTACAACAAATTATGAATCGTAATTAAAAAAAAAAAAAAAAAAAAAAAAAAAGGTAGTGGGGCTTCCAGGCACTTCGTGCCTTCTAGCCCTGAAGATGTTTAGTATAAATGAAGTTCTTATATATACGGGTCTTCCAGGAGCTTTTCACAAATTATATATGTTTTCATGTTTTGTCAAGACTTCTTCGTAAATGTTTTGTCAAGACTTCATCGTAAATGTTTTGTCAAACATGAACGTACATGTTTTGTCAAGACTTCTTCGTAAATGTTTTGTCATGATTTCATCGTAAATGTTTTGTCAAGACTTCTTCGTAAATGTTTTGTCAAGACTTCTTCGTAAATGTTTTGTCAAGATTTCTTCGTAAATGTTTTGTCAAGATTTCATCGTAAATGTTTTGTCAAGACTTCTTCGTAAATGTTTTGTCAAGACTTCTTCGTAAATGTTTTGTCAAGACTTCTTCGTAAATGTTTTGTCAAGACTTCTTCGTAAATGTTTTGTCAAGACTTCTTCGTAAATGTTTTGTCAAGACTTCTTCGTAATGAGTGTAAATGACCAAAAATATAATTTAGGGTAGAAGGTTAGATCTAACCTCTTTTCTAACCTCTTTTCTACCCTCTTGAATTTGTCAAGATTTCTTCGTAAATGTTTTGTCAAGACTTCTTCGTAAATGTTTTTGTCAAGACTTCTTCGTAAAATCAGACAAAAATAATGTTTAGGTGAAGAGGTGAGATCTCACCTGTTTTCTCACCTGTTTTCTCACCCTCTTGAATTTTCATGATTTCATCGTAAATGTTTTGTCAAGACTTCTTCGTAAAATCAGACAAAATATATTTTAGGTGAAGAGGTGAGATCTCACCTGTTTTCTCACCTGTTTTCTCACCTCTTGAATTTTCATGATTTCTTCGTAAATGTTTTGTCAAGACTTCTTCGTAAATGTTTTGTCAAGACTTCTTCGTAAAATCAGACAAAAATATAATTTAGGGTAGAAGGTTAGATCTAACCTCTTTTCTAACCTCTTTTCTACCCTCTTGAATTTTCATGATTTCATCGTAAATGTTTTGTCACTTTTCTGTCACTTTTCAGGAAAAAACATTTTTATATATATATAAATGAATTTTACAAAACCACCGTTACCATTCTTTGGAAATAAGAGTAAATGTAAAGATATTATATTGAGAGAACTTAAGAAACTACCGAATGGTCTAACATTTGTAGATTTGTTCGGTGGAAGTTTCTATATATCCCATTTGTGCCATATAATATTCCCAGACTCAAAGATTATATGCAATGACTTCGACAACTATATGGACCGTCTCAAACATATTCCAGACACAAACAATATATTGAAAGAGTTAAAAGAAAAGATACCTATAGGTAAGATGGAACGTATACCATTAGATAAGAAAAATATTGTGAGAGAGGTTTTGAAAAAAGCAGAATATATAGACTGGGATAGTATATCTGCTAGACTATTATATAGTGGTGCTATAAGAGTTCATGACATTGAAACACTTATGTCAAAAGTTTTATATCTTAACTATACAAATGTTTTCAAAGAGGACATAGAAAAATATATTGAGGGTATAGAGTTTGTGAGATGTCATTGGACAGATTTGTATGAAAAATATAATTTAGGGTAGAAGGTTAGATCTAACCTCTTTTCTAACCTCTTTTCTACCCTCTTGAATTTGTCATGATTTCTTCGTAAATGTTTTGTCAAACATGAACGTACATGTTTTGTCAAGACTTCTTCATCGTAATGAGTGTAAAGGACCCAAAAATAAAGTTTAGGTGAAGAGGTGAGATCTCACCTGTTTTCTCACCTCTTTTCTACCCTCTTGAATTTTCATGATTTCTTCGTCATAGGCACGGAGATAAGACGGTTATTTTACAAAACTGACAACACTTTGACCGAGTAGTTTTTTGTGCTGAACAAAAAGTGTCATATAAACATCTGTCAAAAACCGCTTTTTAACTTCACTTAAAATGCCACGTAAGCTACGTAAGAATATACGTAAGAGGAAGGGAGCATTGAAACATCCAATAGTAAAACTAACACCACAACAACAGTTGCAACAACAAATTATGAATGACCCCACTATGTTGCAACAAATGTCAAGCAACCCTATGCTTTTAAACCGAGTTATTGGTGCACAGAGTGGAGGTTTAAGAGCGGCACTTTTAGCGAAAATGGCAGGCTATGGTGGAGCTGCAGACGGAACAGCTTATAACCCTCAAAGTCAAATGAATTTGAGTTCACTCAAAAATCAAATAACAGATGTCAAAAAGTCAAACATAGACATACAGAAGCAAATAAGTGAAAACGAAAAGAAACTAGAATATGACAGACACACAAAGAAACTCAATGAGTTAAACGTAGAGAAAAAGAAGAAAGAAGAACAACTGAAAGAACTAAGTACAGAGGAATATGCGAAAAAAAGTGTCAGAAAAAGCAGCAGAAGTAGCAAAAATGGAACAAGATGTTATAAATTTGAAAAACCATACTACTCAATATAAAGTACTGAAAGATGAAGAGATAAAACAAAAGCCCTGAAGACATATATGGATAGCGATGAGTATAAAAAAGAAGTTGAAGCAAATGTAAAGGCAGAAAAAACTTTTACAGTTGCAAAACCAAACCGTACAGTATGAAAACTTAGCACAAGAAAGTAAAAATAACGACGCAGCCATGCAAAAGGCAATGAAAAGCTCAGAATGTATAAAAGCTAATAATGACTGGTTAGATGCCCAAGCCAACGCCAAAGCAGCCCAACTTATAGGGTCAATAAGGACAAAAATACAAGCGGATGAAGACAGTTCAAATGAAGCTTTAAAGAATGCTGACTTTAAGAACGCCTTCGAAGCTCTTCATAGTAAGGTGAAACTAGTGAACGACTTCTCATCTGGAAAGAAACTGAAGTCTGAAGGTTTCGACAACGAGTTAA